CCCCCCCCCCCCCCCCCCCCCCCTCCTTGGCGCTTCCCTGGCAACGTTGAAGAATCTCTGTAGAAGAGGGATAGTTGGGGAGAGAGCCCTTGGTGGGGCTCGCAACAACACCTCGTGATCTCGCTACAAAACAATTTGCGCAAAACAGAGGCAGAGATTGTGGTGGAATCCATCGCGCATCATCATTCGTCCTGACAAAAGGCAAAGTCAAAGTCTTGATCGTCGTTGTCTTTGCCGAAGCGCGTTAGCGGTGGCGGTGGCGGTGGCGGTGGCGGTGGTGGTGGGATCGCCGCCCCCCGCCCCCCGGTAGAACGCGATGAGGTTCGCGACGGCGTTCGGGTTACCGGTACCGAACTGCCGAACGGCTTCGTCGTACGTCAGCAGCTCCGTCGGCGTTGTCGTTGTCGACGATGATGACGACTGCTGCTGCTGCTGCGGCGGCGGCGGCGGCGGCGGCGGCGAACGGCTGGTCGAGGCCGAGACTTCGTTTGCGCTCACACTCGGCGATGGTGTCGGCGGCGATGGTGTCGGCGGCGGCGGTGGCATTGGCAGCTGCGATCTCTCTGCTCCACGTTCTGCCGATGACGGCGTAAGTCGCCCGTGAGAGGACTTGGCAGCGGCGTCCGATGTTGGCGGCGGCCGCGTTGTTAGCGGTGGCTGCTGTGTCTGGGGTGATGCTGGTCGTTTCCTGAGGTAGAACAGGCCCTCTCCCTCCGCCAGGAGCTTGTTGCCGCAGGTGGGGTCTCGCAGCGCGGCCTCCACAAAAACCTTTGTTGTGTTGGCATTAGAGGATGCGTTGGCAAAGCGCAAGAGGGGATCGGGGATAGGGAATAGGGGTAGGGGGGCGCGTACTCATGATTCGCATGCCGTAGCCACTAGACCATTGACCACGAGTCCTCCAGAGGGCGGAACATGGGGGGGGGGGATTAAAACGGCGAACGAATGTATGCAGCATGATGAGACAAGACACAAATTTATGTGTGTGGGCTCTATCTGTTCGCTTGCAGTCATTGCCAAGAAACCGCTGGTCCCCCCCCCCGGCACCTCTCTTCCTCGGCGCAAGTCCCCGTCGACTTCCTCTAAAACGTTTCAAAGCACACATCGTTTAACCTCTAACCCTACCCCCAACTCGAACACCGCCTACGTCCGAACGAGCTCCTGAGACAGATTTTCTTTGTGCGCGCGAACATCAGGCATATGCAGCTTCACGTCACGAAGAAGTCGAATGGTTCGCAAAGACGAAGAAGAAACATGTTCGATGGCGACATGTACCTTACGGCCTTCCCGCTTGACGACACGTGTGTCGAAGCGCAGCTGGCGTTCCATGGGAGCGCCCGCCAGAAATCGGACCGTGAGCCGCATCGTTGGGAGCCCCCATCTCGGGAAGCCCACCTCTCGCCACGCCATGGTGCCAAGGACGTCGTCTAGCGCGGTAGACACCGCGCCTCCGTGGACGTGGTCTTTTTTTAACGCAAAAAAAAAAAAAAAAACGAGCGAAAGAAAGGGTGCACCGAAAAACGCGGGGTTGGCTCCCGTTGGGTTGATACGATACTTTTTGAAAAGAGCCCAACTGTTACTGTCAAATGGGTTTGGTGAATTTTGGGCTGGCTGTCGCCTTTCGCACCAGGCGGTCTAACGGAAATTTGGTGACCCGATGCCGTCATCCTTGGCTACTGAGAGAGTTGGCTCGCCGTGGAAATTAGTACTCCCGAGCATGTGTAGTGTCGTGCTTCCTTTCTAGTGGCCTGCGGTAGAGTGGTGTGGAGTTTGGACCTTTGGCTTCCCGCATGAGGTTTCTTATGGAGCGAACCGACTTGGAAGGTTGGCGTATCCACCCGTAGGAAACAGTGCGATATATCGAGGGCGGTGGTGACCGGGCCACCACGCTGGTGACCGGGCCACCACGCGGTGGAGTCATTTTTTCTGGGCTGCGGAGTTGTTGTGCGTTCTATGCAGACGGTGTGAGGCGGAGATGGACATCCGTTGCACAATGCATGCTTGGCGTTCACCAATAAAGACACACGAAGACTCTTGTACATTCTTGTCCGAGGGAGAAAACTACCAATCAAAGAAAATACGAGGCACGCAATATTCGAGACGTGACTTTCTCCTCTCTCACGGCACCATGAGAGTCCTTACAGACGCAGCAAGCACCGCCCGCTGCCCCCAGAACCAACCGCCAATCGACGCAGTCAGAGGGACACAGTATCCGAGACGTGAGTTTTTCTTTCTCACAACACCAAGAGCCCCAACAGAAGCAGCAGCAGCTCCGCCCGTTGCCCCCAGAGCCAACCGCCAACCAACGTAATAAGAGGCACACAAAAAAGTATTAACACGTTGCTTTAAATGTCACCAATTTTTCGAACGGCAGTATGCGTGCGTGTGCTGCTCGACGGCAGCAGGCATTGGTAGGCGATACAGAATATGTAATAGTTGGATGTGAATTGTTTTCGTTTTGGGTTTTATATTTTTCAGTTTTCGGGACGCAACACTCGAAACACGAGTTTCCCCTCTCTCACGACACCATGAGAGTCCCTATAGCAGCAGCAGCAGCAGCAGCAGCAGCAGCAAGCTCCGCCCGCTGCCCGCAGAGCCAACCGCCAATCAATGCAAAAAGAGGAACGCGATACCCTACTGTATGCACGCATTGCTTAAAAAATTCCCCAAGTTTTTCGAAAGGCAGCATACGTGCATGTGCTGCATGCGTGCGTGTGCTGCTCGACGGCAGCAGGCATTGGTAGGCAACAAAAGGTTGCGTGTGTTTGTGTGTTTGTGTGTATGCGTGTTTGTTTGCGTTCTTGGAGAGCCAACCGCGGCGGCTTACCCGGCGGCCCCTCGCAGCCCAACGAGAAAACGACGCTGCCGGCCATGACGTTGGCGTCTCTGTTGTACCACCGCCTGATGTCCATGGCGTCCCCGATGAAGTTGCGGCCCGTGTAGCCGATCGCCGCGGCTACTGCGGGTTCCTTCGCGATCGCGGGGAAGTCGATGTCAAAACCTGTTTTTTTTTTTTTCCCGAAGCACGAGCGAGCCCACAACGACATCAGTACCGTAGAGACTTAACCAAACGCAGCCGAGGTATACTTGTAGTGTCACTTTACGTATCCGTAGCAAAAATCTCAAGCTTACGACGTCCGTCAAGCTACGGTTGTATCTGTCGTGTTTTTTCGAGAGAGAGTGGTAGCTGTAGCTCTGGTTGTTGGTTCGTCTCTCGACAGCAGTCCGCACCCGTCACACACGGGACATCTTTCACCACCCGTGCGGTTCGGCACTGACGAGATGCTTATTGTTCCCTGTTCTTGTCGGAAGTGGTACAGATTTCAACCCCCCAAGAGTACAGCCCAAAACACAAGGTACTAATGTCTTCATGAAAATAAATATAAAAAGAAAATTAGTGCCTTTGGGAGGGGACGTCCGCTGAAGTATTTTGGTTTCCGACGCTCTTGCGTGTAATTTTCAGCGGGGAGGGAAAAATCAGAAGCGATTGTTTGCCCCTAGCCACGCCGCACGCCTGTGCTCAGCGTCTTTTTCAGGCAAAAACACCGAGGCAGTACGTCATTGCTTAATTGCATCGGCTTTGGCGTGCGTGCGTTGTCTCTGCCGCTCTCTCTCGCGCGCGACCGGGTGGATCACATTTCGAAAGGGTGCTTATGTTCCCGCCGTGGTATTGCGTATTTTCCCGCAGCACTAGGCAATTCATTGGTTCTGGAAAGGACAACTGCCCCACATCAGAGAGATTAGGCTAGGCATGGAAAATATCACCGCGTGTAGCCCTTTGCGCATTGCTGTTGTGCTTGCTTTTGGGGTGGGCTGCCTCGTCGTGTCTCTGCTGGTCTCTGTGCATGTTTTTTTTCTCTTAGGCAAGGCACGCCGGCGATCTGTCGGCACACAAAGTCATCGGAACTTCAAACGGAACGGAATCGGACCTGTAGTCACGGAAGGGTTAACGCACTCCCCTGTGTGCGATTAACGAACTCCGGTATGTACGCTTTCGAATCAATTTTTGCGGGCGTACGGATAGTCTACCTCGGTAGTGTTGCGTTGCAGGCTCCGCACGCAACGCACACACACAAGCACATCAGTCAACAGTTAGCGCGGTGGGTACTATTTGAGAAACCATACTCAAGAATGTGGACAGATTTGAAAATAGTTGTTTTTAGTTCTTCGTTGGGGGGGGCTTCGTTGGGCTCTTCGAGTCAACAACATTTCAGCTGTGTGAGTTATTGAGCCCAGGGTAGTCATCACAGCTGGCAGCTGGCAGCCAGCTGTGGGTTAGTCCTGCTTGCCTCGTGTATTTTCATCTTGACTCACCCGTTGGTGACACTGCTGTGCTCTCATGAGCCCACTCCGGATTACTTGTACACACATAGTCTACATACCCAAGCCAAGTAGCGGCGAAATAAAACGCGGCGAAACAAGAAATCCCGCTCGCGGAAACTAAATTTCCCGACGTCGCGCGGTGCGCACTCGCGGCTCACGACCAGTCCCTTGGCAATCATGTCTGAGGGTAGTTGTGTCTTGGCTTGTGGCCGCTGCTTTCCGTCTCGTGTTTTGGTCGAGGGGACAAAGTTTAACGACTCAACGAAAGAATCAATGGATTACCAAATTACTCTTGTTTTCATCTCCTAAGTACCAGCTTCACATGTGCCCTTCAACCTTACCACGGACGATTCGCCGCGGGAAATAGGATTCCGCCCAAGCGTACCTGTTCGTTCCCATGAGCCGGACTTGAACTCGCTCCGCAGGAAGTCGGGGATTTGGCCGTCTGGACCGGCATGGCGCCGTCGATAGGCGACCCTCATGATTCCTGTTGTGCGGTCGATCACCGGCGGTCAGCGGGCAATTGACCGACGCGGCGTGCCGTCCTGCCCGTGCTGCCCAGCTTGGTCAGCGACGACGGCCGTGGCGGGGGGCGAGGGGGAATCTGCTGCACAACAGTGTGTTAAGCGGTGGAATAAACTTATTTACCCTATGTACCCGTCCGATTCAACCATGAGTGGGAGCTACGTGTACTCGAAAGTAGTACACAAAGAGGATGGGTATAAAGATCGACGTGGGGTTGATGGGCAGGAAGGTGGGCTCCTCACTCCTCACACGAGGAGAGAGGGAAGAGGGAAGGCCAGACTCACCCGTGTGAGCAGCAACGAAGTGCGCGTGCGGGCTTGCACCCAACGGTTGTCTTTCTCCTGAGCTCTCCGGAGCTCCGGAGTTCAACGAAGTCAGCGGAGTTGCTATGTTTGCACACTGCTGCACACGCTTGTGCGCAGCAGTCACTGCCCACTATCCACTACGGTACACACCTGCACCATGGACCACCAACGCCTCGCTACATTTTCGCGGCGTAATGTCACAGTCTCGCGTGTTATTTGCCCCGCTGGCTGCCTTCACTACACTCTCTCCTCGCACACTTACATGCACACCTCTTGGAGCGATGCGGGGCGCCCTGTCGACGCTCGCTCGAGGGAGGGCCGCTGGAGGGATGGTAGTCTCAGTTCTTGGCGACACTTTCGCGGATGTGGTTTGCCGGCCGTTGGAACGCCTTCCCGCCTGGGGCACGGTGAGACAATACGTAGACTACAACATTCACAAGGCGACGACACTGCGCTTTTCAATGCGAGGACCGCAACAAAACAACAATAACAACAACAACAACAACAACAACAACAACAACAACAACAACAACAACAACAACAACAACAACAACAACAACGACAACACCAGGTTTACTTACAACCAACCCGTGTCAGATTTGGAGGTTACACCTAGCCCCGGGTTAGGTACGTGGGCCTCAAAATATGTGTCTTCCAACAGCTCTCACCTCCGCAGAGCGGGTTCTCATGCGCCACTTTTAAGAAGTGTGGCGGGCGCGTGTTGTCCTCCCAGGCGCTTGTTCTTAGACTATACGTATCCTCGACGTGCGCTCATGCGAGGACCGGCGCAGTCAATCAGGTATTAGCGACGGGAAGAGATTGTCGACCGCTGGTGAACCGGCAACTGACAGCACTTTTCGGGGAATATGTCCCTGTGGTGTGGTGCTCCTGAGAAGGCGCTACTCTCTGCAATCCCCGGAGACAACAGCGGTTCAACAAACAACGCTGACATATCAAGGCACACCTGCTTGCACCACAACCCACCTCACAGCAGAACGCATTCCTCAAAGAGTGCAGAAATTGTCCCCGATACTAAGTACCTTCTGGCATAATCACTCAGGGTGGTGCTTACTTTACACGACCTCTCGCACACGGCTCTCGGAAATGTTGACTTCCTCTCGCCCCCCCCTATTTCCTTACGCCCTCGTATCATATGCTCGCACACGCAGGACACCCTGGTTAGCGATCCGATCCGTGTCATGCTCGGCGGCTCCGCGGCCAATTTTGCGGTCCACGCCACCAACCTCAACAGAGCGCAGCCGCCATTCGAACTGCTAGCATCAGCAGCGCCACAAGACGACCAAGCACAACAACTAAACCCAGCGGCGGCGGCGGCGGCGGAGGCTGCCGCGTGCGGAGAAGAAGCCGGGGCGAGGGCAGCAGCCGCGCCTGTTGAAAGCTGCAAAGCGAACACCAAGAAGAAGCAGGCCTGCGTGCTTCACACCAGCGTGGCGAGCGACGACATGGGGGCGTTCGTGCGCGGCAAGCTGATCGAGCACGGCGTGGAGTGGTCGCAGACCAAGGCTCGCGAGCATCAGGTGTGGGGTTGGAGTCGGAGGGGGAAACCTGATTTCGATTTTTTTTTGTTTCGGTGGCGCGTTGATTAGTTCTTGATGCGTTGCGCGTTGACCTGGGAGGGTGATTTTTGAGGTGAATTTCAAAGGAAGAAAAAAGGTTCGATGAGCCAGAGTGTGTTTAACTGCATCCTGCCGTCTTTCGTCTCCCCCCCCCCCCCCCCCTGCTTCATGAGGCGTGCGCGCCGTACATTCATTTGTCACTGCTGTTCGTCTATACAACCTGTTTTTTTGCACCATACTCTTGTAGTTTGAACAAAATGTGATGGAACGAGCAACCTCAACCGAGGGGGGTGAGATGTCTACGAGATACATACGTACAACAACGACGACGTCGCATCCATACCTAATCAACACAAAGAAACAAAAATAACAGGGCGCGTGTGTGGTGCTATCGGGACGAGAGGACCGGAGCTTCGTGACGCACCGAGGCTCGGCGGCGCTCTTCTGCAGGGAGGACATCGACGTCCCCCGCCTTCTGGAATCAGACCACGTCCACGTAGGCAAGCAACCCCACCACCACCACCCCAACGACTTTTTTTCGTTTTTCGGGCTTGAGATATTTTCGGTTGTGCTCCTTCTTACATGTCTTGAAGACTCCGCAAGTACGTTTTTATGGGAGGGAGGTATTGGGGAGACGTTTATGTGTGTTCACGGACCTATCGTGCCACGACCTACCTACCAGATGAAACAATGCCCACTACAAGTATAAATCATCCATTCCTTTCCGTTTCCTTTGTTGTTAAAAATGTTACGAAATACACAGCGGGATTTTACAACTGCCCGGCGCTGTGGAAGGACCTACCCAGCCTTCTCGCCGAGGCGAAGGCCGGCGGCGCGTCCTGCTCTCTCGGGCCCCAGTGGGACGCCAAGGAGGAGTGGGGGGGACTGGAGCCGCTGTACCCCTACCTTGACGTCTTCATGCCGAACGAGGTGTGAGACCATGATGAATAGGATAGCGAGGAGGGTCAACACACCAGCCCACGCGTCGTTGTGTCTCTCGCGGTCGCTTGGTTTTCGTGACGTTTGGGGGGGGGGGGTCGCGGGACTCGGTATCATGGACTAGTTCGGAAGGGGAGGGTGCGGGGATGATGTTGGCTGCACCCGAACAGCTTGTGGTTTTCTTTCGATCTGGGCGGTCTTTTTAGGCGTGGCAGAAGTGCATACTCGGGAGTGCGTGACATATGCGAAAGTTGTCGCTTACTTCGTAGGATTATCCTCCTCGTGTGATAATTTGTGGTGCCCGATTTCTCCACTAAACAAATACACTGCCGGTGCTTCTCTCATGATGGCGCCACAGAGGTAGGCGTGGGATCGGTGTGCTGACTCGAAGAGGGCGCGCGGACAAACGTATCACGCGTCGACACAAACGCGCAACAAGGCGTGCCTCCTCGACTGTTAATCGGTCCACTTTTTTCGCTTCCCCCTTGTCTCTGTTTCCTGTCTGTCTGACCCTTGCCCGCTGTGTGTCTTTCTCATACACTTGGTCGCTTACTGGTATTAAATGACGACAAAACGACATGCACAGGCCGAGGCGCTGAACATCTCGGGCTGCGGCGACGTCGCCGAAGCCGCTTCGTTCTTTCTAGACAGGGGGGTCGGTCTTGTCGTGGTCACGAGAGGGGGCGGCGGCGCGTTCGCCGCTTCCAGGAGACACGGCGGTGGGGGCACCGCCGGTGGGAGGGGTTCCGTGAGAGTCAAGGGCGGGGGAGGGGGGGGCGCAGCAGGAGGTGCCGGTGACGACGGTGGTGGCGAGGGTGGCTTTCAGAGGTCGTGGGAGCAGAAATGCGTCCCCGTGGAGGTGAGCGCCGTGTTCTCTCTCTCTTGGTGTTGCTCTTTGCCTGAAGTGGCGCAGAAGGTGAGAGGCCAGGAAGAAGAAAAGCTACGGGTGGGTGAGGGGAGAGTAAACCTCGACTTGAGTACCGCACCCAAAAGAGAGTCCATTCGCTGGTGCCCCGCTCCGTGGTACTATTTCCATACCATGCCCAACCATTTGGCCGGCGCGTCTTCAGTCTGTCGTTTGTCGTTTTCTGCTGATTTCGCAGCAGTGCGCTCTTTCAGGAATGGTAGTTCGCTTGGCGTACCCTTTCGTCGTCACACTCGCCCTTGCGCTCACCATACATTTATCACGAACTGAAGCGCTCAACTTTTTTGAAGTTTTTTTTTCAAGCGTCCGCCACTCACAAGGGCCTTCGTTGCGTGCCGTTCGACGGGTGAACTGCAAGCAGGTCGTGGACACCACGGGAGCGGGGGACGCCTTCAGGTGTGTGGGGTTGCAAAGTATGCTGCTCTCCGTGTTTCCTCTCCTCTTTAGGTGGACAGGGAGGGTCAAGCGATGATGAAACCGGCTGTCCTAAATGGACCCTTCGTTGGGGTTCAGGGCGGGGGGGGTGGGGGATGCTCAATAAAACGCATGCTATTTATTGTCGTTTTACCCTTGACCTCGCATCTCTACAATGCCGGGACGGAGCGATATGCCCGGTTTTCGCCGGGTCAGGTTACGGGGCGCGGGGCGTTCTACTTTGTCCCGCAAAAGTATTGTGCATTTTCCCATGGAATACGCAAGCACCGTCGGGGCCAGTTGTCCTTTGCATGTTCGCACGTGATCAAGCACGCATGTAAGGGAGTGTGGCAACACTTCTTCCCAACCCTGGTGCTGCGATCCTCTCCCGCACACTCTCTCTTGCTGCTTCTTGCCTCTTCCACCTCAGCTGTGTTGGTGTGGTGCAGTCCTGCTCCTGTGCCTTCTGATCAGGCCGGCGTTTAGACATTGGCTACAATAAACTCTCGCTGAGGCAGCAGCAGCAGCAGCTCTACCACCATGAATGTTTGACTTTTGTGTCCCACTACAACACGATTCGGCTCGCTACGGTTTGTTTTTGTTCAACCGGACAGCGCTGGCTTCCTCCACGTCTGGGTCGGCGGCGGCGACGTCCAGGCCGCCCTGCGGTGGGGTTGCGCGCTGGGCACGGCGGTGGTGACCAGGGTAGGGGCGAGCTCGAAGCTGTCGATCGAGGAAGACGTCCGACCTCACCTCGTGTTGTGAGAGAGAAGGCGGAGCAGGAGGGGTGTTGGTTGCAAGGCGTCTCGCCTGGTCTTTTAATCACTTCGGCAGGAGGAATGGACGCCAGGCCGGGGGAGGAAGGAGCAAAACAGGCGCCTCTGATGGAAGGTTGGTTCCCCCTGAAAAGAGGATGTGAGGCTGCGGGTTTGTAGGAGAAGAAACTTGCCGACGTTTCGGAGACGAGCGTGCGCTTAGAGCTAGCGGAGTGCTCCAGTTTGTAAGTGGCCATCTGTGTGGCCCCGAGATACCAATCAGGCTACAACGCAGGGCGACATGATGTAACAAGAGCGGGGTGGTGCAGAGATGCATCAGTCGTGCCTTTCACCCTGTGGACTTTGGTGGTTGCTGTCTTTTTGAAGGTCTACGGAGACTCGGGGCTCCGTACCATGGGTATTTTGTAGGAATTGTCTGTATTTGGATGATGCACGAGGTCCTGTATCTTGGGGCTACCATCTCTTTTGCCTTTCGGGGGAAATACTTCGGTGCGTGATCACCCTAGCCTGTTCAAGTACCATCAGCCCCTCACTTGGGGATGGGAGTCCTGGCGGATACTGCATCGATCGATTCCCAATCCCGGCAAGGCCTATGGAAAACAATGACTGAGCGAGATCTGATTGGATTCTCCGCATTTCTAGCCGCAGTGGCGGTTAAACCAATGCGACGAGTCACCCTTTTTTCAGGGGTCACACGTGTTTGGTTGGAGGCACGAAAGCAGGCGTCACACTGTTCCAAGTTTTTTTGTGAGCCGTTCCCCTCTATTGGTTTGTTTTTGGCGACATCTCTTGTCATCGTACACCCCCTGTTGAGGTTATGCCGTCACGAAAAGCTGTGCTCACAGAAGAAGAGGATCCTCAACAATCTGTGGAAAGATGCATAGAATCGTTCCTATCCCCAAGCCGCCCCCCTTAACCTCCCACGAGCTACTTTGCCACTCTTGAACGAGACAGACGGGTGATCACGGGCAAGAATGAAAGAACTCGAAGCAAGTTGTTTTCGAGTTGTCGTGACGTCACAATGTCCTATGTGCCCGTGATGATCTCCGTTGATCCCTACATATCCTGTTTTAAGGCCCCGGCCGGCGAGAGCTCCGACAATCACGTGCAAATGTTTTACCCAACCAACCAAATCCAACTCGTGTCCCGTGGACACTTTGTGGGTGATCGCAACATGCGCCGGGTCTTCAAATCGCTGAATGCACGATTTCCAACGCCGACCGAGAACAGGTTTCGTGTAGACAAGGTTTCTGATTTACTGCATCGATTATGCACCTCGGCAGGCGTTGGACAAGACGTGTTCTACATGCCGCCTAACCTGTTGACCCCTTCCACATGAAGTCCGTATTCGCACAATAATGGTAACAGGTGATTCCTCCCTGATATAGACCACTCGGAGTACCAACAACATCTACTTTGTGAGTACCGTCGCTACTAGGTGAAAATTGGACAGCAGTTCTAATGAGCTCTGGCGGTCCCCTCCCAGGCATTAATGACAACACGCACTACTATGCTTCCATGCAATTCGAAGTAATGTGCACTACACTAGGATATCTAACGATCGACCGCACGATGTCGATCAGCTCGCTCGCGTTCACCATGAAGCTCTTTTCGCACTCCGCTTCCAAGGCTCCTCGCCGTCTTTTCCTTAGAAGGCTTTCGATTCTTCCATGTACGTGAGCTCTAGTTTAGCTCGGGGACGCACAGCTAGTCAACTTTAAAATTTTGAATTTTCCCCCCAAGGGGTGACGTCACTATCCTGGATGACGTCACCGATCGACCAGGGGTTTTCCGGCAACCGGAAGTTTCCTAAAACAAAATCCACCAATCAGAAAAGTGCACTTTTTTCTGTCTACGTTCTTTCTCCTTCTCTCTCTCTCTCCTGTCTCGTGCTTCGCTAGCCCAATCAATGAAATCCCACGTAGTTTGGTTAGCATGCGCTCCACGCCCAGCTTCATGATTTTTACATGGCCAACTCGCTCCACCTTCCCCTGCAACCTCATGCCCTTGTAACAAGCTGCAAATATCTACTACTTACTATTCTACATTCGTTTTGTTGTTTTTCTTTGAAACGCTACGGTCCTCTACATACCAATACCCCTCTTTGTTATTCGGATTCTGCATCGGTCTAACTGTTTAATGACCGGAACCTTACACTCGGCGTTTATTGCCTGGTTGCCGCGTTTACTTCAGCAGGCTCTAAATTCTGCACTTACCCCAGCTGCCATGTTTCCCTGCAAACGCGATTCGTTCTCGATTCATAAAAAGACGAAGAACTATCCGCCCGCCGTATCAACTGCACTGCGGGCTGAAGCACGATAGTCCTCTTTGTTGCCGCGTCGGGTTGGGCTGGCCCACTGCACTTGCGGTGGAGTGTGCCATGAAATGGATGGACTACTGAACACACACGTCACACCTTTTACAGAATTGCATGAAGATCACCTACTTCAAGTATAGGTATGTATACATGCAGCTTCGACACTTTGTGTTTCAAAAGTTTCCAAAATAAAAAAAAAAGCACCTGAAAAAAAACACAGGTGCCTCTGAGTGTGCCCGCTAAGGCTATGGATTCATTGCTAGTTGATCCCGGACGACCCATCTATGGATAGAGTTGAATTCGTTGCGTAATATTGCAAGGAAACACGAGCAAGACACCACCACCTCATACATATGCATATGCGTGTGCACTGCTGTACATTCAAATTCAAATGTCTGTGTGGTATTGAGGCCAAGTTCTCATCAAGAAACATTCTAAACAGTCTCCACGTACGATTTCTGTTGACAACGTGTACCCGGGCAGCCCGAAGAAGTTTTTCCGCACTCGAAACTACGTGTAGCGCTGTTCGTCGCGTGTTTCGCTTCCCAGCGAGAAGCTCGGGGTAGCACCAAGCTCTTCCAAGATGTGTTCCAAGCGCTCGACGACTTCTCCGGCAGACGGCCTCTTGTCCGGGTCGCGCGCCCACATATCTTGGATGACCTTTTGAGCAAGTATTTGCGACACGTAGAAGGGAGGGTGGGCGAGTCGTTAGCCGAAGTTTCTTCTTCACGCTCCTCCTCCTCTTTGTTTTTTCTCACGCTTGCAAAAGAGCCTGCTATCCACAGGGGAGAATCGCTGTGCGCTGCTCGGGAAACAGTAGAAGTACTGGTAGTGCTTCCGCTAACCCCATGAATTGATTGCTAAAATATCCTGGACTCATCATGCAGATGGATTTCGCGGTGTTGCATTCAGCAAAAAAAAAACGCCGCAGCAACCGGCGGCGGTGGCTTACACAATAAGCACTTCTCTTTTTCCGACGGAGCTCTCTTCTCCCATTGCAAAGGTTTGTTGTCCGACTGGCCTTTCAGTATGCACTGTTGAGAAGCACGACGACCACTGGACCATCACATGTACCAGTCAGCAAATAAAATCACGAAAAAAGATATTTTTTGGCCAAACCGAATACATGCGCGCTGACTGGTGATCCAGTGGTCATCGTGCTTACGAACATATCCGAAATCCCTTTCTTCGAGAACATGTATTACTATGTAGTGGCCTGCAACGCGCGGGAGAACGCTACCGACCTACATGTACCTGCGTGTAGCCTTTGTGCCACCATGGTGCCATCTCGGGCCTGGCTGTGCTCATGCGAACCAGCTGCACACCCTGTTTCGTGAATGGCAGCCTCCCCGCGATAAGAGCGTAGAATATAATTCCCATGCTGTAGACGTCCACCGAGAACGTCAAGGGCTGCGGGCGGGGCGGGAGGAGATACGTACACATGCAAGAAGAGAGGGGTCGAACGAATCGTGACTTGCTTAGTGGAGTTGGAGGCAAGGAGATACGTCCACGAGGGGTCGAAAAGAATAGTGATTTAGTGGAGTTCAAGAAGGGAGGGGCGGCCATCCAGGCAACTTCACTGCAGAGAGCTCGGAGGTGTGTCGACTCCGAAAAGGCGAAACACTGACATCGACCCACCACGCATCGATCAAACACCTCGTTTTGGCCGGGTTTTTTCGTCCTACATACATGTATTTGTTCTTTATTATGGCGACAGTCCCCCCATTTTTCGTGATGCGACGCGTACTACACTCTTCAGTGTATGTTGAATACTGCACTTTTCGGCGTGTTTTTCGTAAAACTACAACCATCCAGGGTCACACAGGAGAGTATCTACCGGGACTTATTTCTTTCTTTTTTTTTATTTTCGTGCCCCACCTTCCTCCTGCGGTGCGTGCTGAATTTTACTTTTTATCGCGAGAAGGGTCCAGCCGTCGCTTTCCCTCGTCAACGGTGCTCTGTCAAAGTTTGGTCCTCACGAGAGCTTTTCAGCTTTTTTTCTTCGCTTTCACCCGCAAATCTTGTAAATTTTTCACCCCATGGGGATTCGATTTCACGACCTTGCGACTAGCGGTTTCTTCGAGGTTACCACTAGATAGACCACCGGGGCGACCGGCTTATTTGGAACGTGCACATCATTAATTTACGGTATTGGGCTTAGGTTGGAGGCGAGGACATTGGATGTAATCTAGATTCCGAAACACGTTCACACGTGAACGAAGGGTGCCTTGGAGTGGATCTCGCACTCTATTGAAAAAATGGAAACAAGCCTCGCCCAAAATAACAGGTTGTCAAGTTTGAGTCCGGGGGCAAACTGTACCCACCTGTCCGGCGTAATTTTCCGGCGACGGCCGAGGGGCGAGCTTGTTGCGTTTGCTCCATCTTGCTGGACAAGGCATCCCGGTAGAGGGGCTCGTGCTCGTGACCTTGGCGCTGTTGAAGTCGTTGAGCACCACGCGCCCGCCGTCGCCCAAGAAGAGTTGCCGCGGTTTCAGGTCGACATGGATAGAGCGGGCGATTTCGTGCAGCGCCTGCGAAAGGGAAGGAAAGAGGGACGAGGGAAAAGTCACGGACGGGACACGTTTGTTTGCGTGGGGTACAGCAGTGCGGGCTCGCAGTCAAGCAGTATGAATATTCGTTCATAAAACAAGAAGAAACAAAGGCTCTCTGAAAAAAACCACGAAAAGTAGTAACAGCAGCTGGTTGGGCAACGCTGCTCAGTCGCGGAACCTACACAAAACTCAATACACTAGCAGCCTGTAGAAATTGAGCCTTGGCCCGCTTTTTATCGTTTTTTATCTGCAGCCTCGCACTGATGTCTATCCTCCGCGTGGGGAAAGCCACAATAGATGCAGAGTGACATTTTGGGTTAGCTCGTGATCGTGATCATGATCGGGTGATGACTAAGGTATGACAGTTATGATCGGATCATGGCCCAGTGATCGGGTCAACACTGAGCCATGAACCGATCATGACCGAGCCGTGACCGGGTTATAACTCTAGTTGTTGTTTCTCAGTACTTTTTAGTATGTTGTTTCTCACTTTCACAGGAATTTTCGGCCAGGTTCTGCTGGATCATGACTGACCCGGTCATGATCTAGCGATGATTGTGTTACCGAGTCGTGGTCGTGTCACGGATGAGTGCACCATGACCGAGACATGGTCATGTCATTCATCACCCCATCGTGACGCAATCATAATCCCATTGTGTGCGTAGACGTTTCTTATCAACGCCAGCCGAGGACCTAGTAGCCGGCCCACCCACCTAAGCTAGTTATCTCATTTAACACCAAACTAACGCCCATGCCGGCACACCAACCTAGAACTTATCCACCTATCGACAATCTCCCACCTATCGTGTGGGTTTCGGGTTGGGGTTGGGTTAGCGTTAGGATTTTTATAGGCGGTTTCATGTCCTTGCCAAAGAAAGTGAGCTATTATTTAGGAGCACCAGAACTGCATTGGCCATTACTGGTCACGGTCATGACCGGGTCATGAACTGGCCACGACTCGGTCATGGCCGAGTCATGACCGAGGCATGACTTCGGTCATGATCGATATCGTTATTGAGGTCATGGCTTCATCCCGATGATTGGTTAAAAACCCGATCATGACTGAGTCGTGATCAATAACCCAATTAATGTCAAAGCCCTGCGCACACACGAACCCATAATGCCCCGTGCGAAAGATCCAGAATACCAATCGATGTACGTTACAGCAGACGATTATTTAGTCATGACTCACAGCCCATCCACCCACACAAAACGCGAGCCATCGACGTATTTGAACGCGAAATCCGCACACGCACAGAGACGACGTGGTGGGTTGTTTACCCCTCCCCGCTTGTGAATAAATTGCCGAGGACTTGGTCGAATCTATTGGTCTCCATGTCGGAATGCCATTTCTTGCAAGATTCCTTGGGTAGGTGCAGCCCTGCACGGCAACCTAGCTTTTCACCGTACAGCGACCTAGCGTTGACGGTGCACAGCAACCTAGCCCTTACCCCCTCTTGCGCCGCGGGTTGGCCTAAACGGGACAGCAGCAACCTTGAACGCTAACGGCACACCAAACTAGCTTTTTCACTGTGCAGCAACCTAGCGCTAACAGTGCACAACAACCTAGCGCCGCGGCTTGCCGCGGCCTAGGCTTGCTTAGTACAGTGAGCTAGCAATTTCCAATGCCATATTTCCTCCTCCTCCCCACCCACCCACCAGCGGTTTCTCGGGCTATATACTGTTACTCTGGAAAATTCCCGTCAACCATTGCGTTCGACCAAGTCGTTAGCACCTGAAATTTCCCCCCTCTCGTGTGTAATAATATAACCAACCATGCGCCCCCCCGAAAAATACATGGTGTCGCTGCATCCCAAACTTTTGCCCCTGCATCCCTCCTCTCTGCCAACCATTCCACCTCCGAAAACCATCATGGGACTTCATTCGCCCAGTCGAAGAAGACTCAGACCATAAAATGGTAGTAGCCACCGTCAACCTCGGTGGCAGTCTTGCCCACAATCGTGCAGCCCGGACTAAACCGAAACAGAAGCAATTCAACCGACGGGAATTGCAGTTCGAAGCAGCACGGTGTGCGGTGACTAATCGGTTCCTCCTCAGCCTCGACACACGACTGGAAGAGCGAACAACCACCGCCGCGGAATTCGCGACCGCCTTTTCCAATTCTCTCCTCGAAGCAGCGCGGACGACCCTAGGGGAGGAACCGCGGAGACGCCGCACGCAGGAGTGGTGTGAGACCCCAGAGACGAAAGCAGCGCTGGAGGAGGCCCTTACCAAACGGCGGGAAGCGCGCCGAGCGATGAGGGGCAAGTGGAACTCAGCAACGTGGAGGGCTCTGAAAGCAGCGTGTAAGGGAGTGGCTACAGCAGTCGAAACGGGCATTTATGCCCACCTGGACGGATATATATATGTGACTGAACTCGAAACAATCTACAAAGAACGCGACATGCGAGGACTGTACCAACACCTCGAGAGATCAGTGGGCCTCAGCGGGAGACAAGCGGGGGGACAGCACTTCGTCGCGGATGAGAACGGCGTGTTGCCCCGGAACAGGGACGACATCCTCCAGCGGTGGGTGAGATTCTTCAGCACCCTGCTCAACACCAAATCCCCTACCCTGAACCCAGACATCATCGATGAGTGACGCAGCGGCCAGCGACACGTGACATTCAACGGTTGGGAGAGGTGCCAGAACTCGAGGAGGTGAAACGGGCAACGAAAGGCCTCAAGAACTGGAAGGCACCCGGCCATGACTCCCTCCCTGCCGAGTTGCTCAAGATCGATGACGACGAACCCTTCGTCCTGGGGCACCTCTATTCCATCCTCGTAAAGGTGTGGAACGGAGGAGATATTCCGCAAGAGTGGAAGGATGCAACTATCAAGGTGCTGTACAAGAAGGGTGACCGGTCCAACTGTAACATCTACAGGGGGATTTCGCTACTATGTCACGTAGGCAAGGTCCCCATCAAGATCATCACCAACCGTCTAAGCGCCTTCTGCGAAGCCAACAACATCCTCCCGGAGGAACAGTGCGGATTTCGACCCGGGCGATCCACCGTCGACATGTTGTTCGTCGTGCGCCGCCTCCAGGAGCTGGGGCGGAGAAAGAAAATACCGCTCTACATGTGCTTCGTCGACTTGAAGAAGGCGTATGATTCGGTGGACCGAAAGATGCTATGGAAAGTGCTGGCCAGGGCCGGGATTTCCGCGAAGCTGATCAAAGTCATCCGCCAATTCCACGATGGAATGCGGGCCCGGGTGCGCATGGACGACGGAGAACTATCGGACTGGTTCTTCGTGACACAGGGCGTGCGACAAGGATGTGTGCTATCCCCACTGTTGTTCAACATCTTCTTCGCCGAGGTCCTCGAGGTCGTTGTCATCCGATTCAGCGAGGATGATGTTGTTCTGCGGAGCCTGGTGTACTTGGAGGAGGGGAAGACGGAAGCGGGGGGGGCGGAGGAGACACCCCTTGACCGAGTACGGAGGGCAGTATGGGGGATGCTGTATGCCGATGATGCCGGCGTCGTATCGAGGTCTGCAGAAGGACTGGCGAGAATGATGACCATCATCGTTGAGGTGTTCGGAGAGTTCGGGCTAACGGTGTCGGAGAAGAAGACGGAGACACTCCTGATGCGCGCGAAGGACAAGCCGACTGCAACATCACAGCCCCCCCCGCCTCCTCCACCACTGACTATCGAAGCCGCGGGACAGAAATACGCCCAGACGACCGAGTTCCGGTACCTCGGTGGCCTCGTCAACGAACATGGCGACCTCACCCGGGAGATCAGCTACAGGAGCAGAGGAGCGTGGGCGTGCCTCAGGCGATATGGCCAGGAGCTCTTCGACAGACCGAAAGCGCCATTCCGACTCAAGATCCGCCTCCTCCACGCGGAGGCGATGGAGGCACTGCTGTTCGGCTGCACGACATGGTCACCACTCAGCGGCCACTATCAGACGCTGCGGGCGACACACCACCGACTGCTCCTTCGAGTTATCGGGTACAAGCGCAAGAAAGACACCTATCGGCAGCTCTCGTACGCCCAGACGCTGAAGAGGGTCGGATGCCAGAGCGTTGAAGCCACGATCCGACAACGACGCCTACTGTTCGCTGGAGCACTGGCAAGGCAGCCGGACGGGCGACTCCCGGAACGACTGATGCTCGGCGAGCTGGCGGGGGGGAGAAGCCACGTAGGGGGGGACAGGAACAGAACTGCCCGAAGTGTGTGCTCGACGACCTGAAGGCATTCGGGGCCGACCACGGATCTACGACAACCGACCCAAGTTGTCTCGGAATTCCCGTACCGAAAGACACGGCACCGAAGTTAAAGTGGACGGAAGCCGCGAAGGTGGAGGGGGGAGTACCCTGGCATGCGGCGGTGCTGCAGGGAGCTGAGAGGTTCATGACCGAGAAGGAAGAAGAGGCCAGCCGACAACGAGCGTTCAAACGAGACCACAAGCCAACAACCAATGGGGCGGGAGGGGGGCAGGAGACGGACGAGACGGCGAGGGAAGAAAGCAAACGAGAAGAGACGGACCGAGTGGCACGACACGTGCCGGATTGAATTTCTTTTCGCCAATTCCCCCCCCCCCAACGCTGCACCATTGCACCAACCCCCCAGTAGTAGTGATTTCGTACCATTACAATGTATCGCTGGTTGGTGGCCATGTTTGCGTGTTTGCTTGTTCGTTAGTGGTCTCTCCACCGTGTGCCTTGTTCTGCCTCATACTTCTTGTTATTTTCGGCCTGGTCCCTCTTTGTCCTCGCCCTTTTTAATTTTATTTTCATTTATTTTCTCTTCTTCTCCTTACGGTTTCCATTTTTATTTTTTTCCTTTTTTTCTCTTTTTTTTCTCTTTTTTCTTTTTTTTTCTCTCTTTTTTTCTCTCTTTTTCTGTGCCAGATGGCCTTGTCTCTGCTTGCGTTGTGAAGTACCAAGATTGAACCAAGGGGGTGTACCTCTTTCTCTCCGGCCCATGATAGATAGTGACTGCTAGTCTCAGTTGATACCTCGCATAGCGCGAAGAGGGAGTGGAGGATTCCAGAATATATCTGTCGTTGATTTCTATTGACTTGCGGACCCCTCGGGGCCAGTTTATTTGAGTGTACCTTTTTAGGGTAAGTTAACCTGTGACCACGGGAATCGACCGCGTCGAGTGTTGGATCAGTACGGACATACGAAGGTACTGGGTAGAGAGAGATCGGAACGGTTTTTAATGTGAAGACAACAACAACAACAACAATAAGACCAAGGACATATATATGCATACCACTCCTTCCTTACGGTACTGTTATTTGCCGAGAAACTGAAATTTCAAATCGAATCGCAGATCAGATACACGGTAGAGAGAGATCGGAACGGTTTTTAATGTGAAGACAACAACAACAACAACACCCCCGGAGGCCCAAATCCCAGCGGGAATTTTTGGCTGGGATTTGATTTTGTTTGAGGTTTGAGGTCTTTGTGCAGGTATTGTTGCGCGCGCGCGGCACCCGCGTGTAGGTAGGCGTCCCCATGTGCGTCGTGATGACACAGATCAGACGGTGACGCGACTTTTGCTCTTTCTTTCCGTTTCCGACCATAGGCTTGGGACGCCTGGGGGCCAGTCATTTGAGTGTACCTTTTTAGGATAAGTTAGCCTGTGACCACGGGAATCGACCGCGTCAAGAGTTGGATCAGTATGGACATATGAAGGTACTGGGTAGAGAGAGATCGGAACGGTTTTTAATGTGAAGACAACAACAACAACAACAACAACAGGAGGAGGAGGATTGGCCTCAAGAATCGAAGCTGCTCTCTGGTGGCCTGGGAATTTCCACCGTGATTCTTCTGTGTGGGTTCCAGAAAAAAATGCAGGCGTTCCGTAAGAGTTGGCCTAATCTCGCAATTTGAAGGACACACCGACACAACAACCGCACCCCTTACCGCCAAGAAGAAGATTTGCGAGCATATATATATATATATATGCAGTCAAAGAGTCAAAGGTACGTTCATTTACTCCCCATCACCCATGATTAATACTTCAAGCAGTGCTGCACAAAACGGCGTACTGCTGCCCAGAGAGCATGGCACGTGCGCTTGCTTGTACACGACCGATTATATACCGCTGCTCTGTGCTACCTTGTGCCAAGGCTTCCTGGGTGATGCGCCTTGGTGTTAGACAACACATCTAACGTGCATCTTGGGGGCCGCTCCTTATTGCAATAAACCTCGCCGCAGAAGCGCTACTACTCTGTATTGTACTTGTTAGATTTTCTGCTGAACCTCAGCCTCCCGCTCGTCGTTGCGTCTGGCACAGCAAAAGTTGGTTGTACATACAACAACGGTGGTGGTATTTACAGACTATATCAAGAGGAGTGTGGACGATCGGTTTCATGTAATAATGTGTTGTTGTTTTCAAAAACCGTTCCGTTCTCTCTGCCCAGTACCTTCTTCTGTCCGTACTACTGCTGTAGTGTGGCTCTAACACTTGATTTGACCGGGGTCGATTCCCGTGGTCACAGGTTAACTTACCCAAAAAAAGCCAATAGAAGTCAACGACAACGACAGATAGTCTAGGCCACCTGTAGTAAAAGGAAGGGTCAACATGTACTACGTACGCATCCGCTAACTAACCCTAACCCTAGAGTGGAAAAAGAAAGAAAAAGAAAGAGAAAGAGAAAAAGAAAGGAAGAGACCAGATGGAGAGAAGGGAAAGACAAGGAGAAAGACATCTAGATAGACAGACAGACATTACAAAGACACACGCACGCCTTTTGCGACTACATGTATGTATGTACTTGTAGCGACAAACGACACACACACACACACGCTTTGAAAATAATAATAATATAAATGTTCGTCCAACCAGGTATGATATTTATCGTACAGCAGTACAACGGGTCGGACGCGCGAAGAAACTTTTCTGTTGACGAAACGGTGGACCACGACGGCCAGCGGCGTGGTAAAAACAGTCCCCGCTCGCTCGACTCTCGAATACTGCTGTAGCTGAACAATCGTGCCGCATGACATGGGCGATAGGATCGCCTTCTCGTACAATCGTACAAAAATACAAAATTCTCGTACAATCGTACAAGACAGCTACCAAACTGTCTTGTTGAGCCTGTTACCCGCAGGGGAGATGTCCCTATATGCTGTCTGGTAAATCGTAGACATACAGGTACTTTCTGACGCTATGAATCCATTGCTAATCTGTCTCAGACTCTTTTCTATGATAGAGATGGTTTCGTTGTGTCATATGAAGAAAAAAAAAAATTACTCTCGTTCCCCGACCGCCCCATGGACAACAGGCAAGGTTGGAGAGCAACATGTAGCGGTTTTCCCGGAACACCGGAACAACAAGTATCGCCTACAGCACAACTCCGACGCGCCCACAATCGTCACGCCTCTGGTTAGACCAAAGGGTCTCGTGCGTTCCGGGCGGAGAGAGAAGACACATGTAATAATGTACACCAGAGGATACCTACTTGTACAGGGTGGCGGGACTGTTGGCACATGTGTGTTGCGGCGTGTTGGTTCGTGGGCGCGGGATTCGGAAGACACAATAAAAAAAAAACATCATGGGAGCATTGGTGACGCTTGGGCAGGGAGAGACGTCATGAAATTTCTTGTGAGCACCTGAGCACACCGCGTCAAAAGCCAAAGCCCCCTCTTGCCACGAGTGTTCAGGGGCACAACACAGCCCACCGGCAGCACTAATTGCATGCGGAGCTCCACGTGGGCTTCTTCCTATTGGGATCAACGGAAAAGCACGGGCCCGCGTGTATTTGTGTTAACGCGTGCACTCCTTCTTGACGGACACCCATCGTAAAAAACCCTACCTTATATTTTTCGGAGGGTCAAAACCTGAAAAGATGGCTCCTGACATGTCGGCGGTGTCCGGCGACCTAATGCGGGCGGAAACGATCGCAGTCGGAAGCGACATCTGGACGGACGATGAGGAAGGGGAGGTATGGACGATCGCCGAGGTCGTGCACCAGGAGAACACTATGCTCACGGTCCGGTACAAGAGCACTGGCGAAGAGCACAAGATCGATTTGGTGAGACACACAATGCGGATAAATAGACATCTGTCTGGAGAAGCGAACGAGTGCGCGGGTCGCGCACAAAGAAGGAGGTGGTGTGTTGTGTGTTGTGATAGTACATACAACAATTCTTGCGGTCGGCCCGTTACCCCCCCTGTGTCCCCAGGCTAGGTGCCTTGACCTTGAATAGCACCGAGTCGAAGGCGGGCGCATGAAGCACTCCTTCGAGTAGTGTATCCACCCGCCTACTTGCACTCATCCATCAATAATATGTCCACGCAAGAGGCAAGCAAGCAACCAACCAACTGATGTTGGCTCTTACCAAAACTGGTTGTTTGCTGTCTTGAGATAAAGCGTTCAATATTGCGACTCAGCCTTGGGTTGTTGAAGCCTGCGTAACAAAAACCAAGCGTGTTGGACTATAAGCTGCTGCTGCAGCTGCAATCCGCCGAGTTTGCGGGCGAGCCGCCGATGGTCCCCTCTGTCACTTCGTGCTGCCTTCCATTCTCTGCGTATAATAGTTTCCACCCGTCGCCCCGCTGGCCTACGCAGCTGCACTGGGCACAACTTCGCACCAGGGTGTGGGCTCAAATCTCTCTCAGGAAAGAGACTTAAAAACCAATTTGCAATTCTCCTGTAGGTGGAACAGCGATTTATTCGTGAGAACACGCGGGGGGAATGGTTTCACCCTTCCCGTGCGGAACATCGAAGGCGGGATATATACATATCAGCAACAACCAGCGCGCCCTCCTCTGTGCTTTGCTTCCTTTGTCTTGCCACCCCAGCTGGTGCGTCGATATGCATATGTAGGTTTAGACTGGCGCCAGACGTACGGGACGAAAGCACAACGCACCACCACATATGTAACACCGCAAAATGTTTTTGCTGTTGGTGTTATTTCTAATCAAAAGAGGCACCGACGTGTAAGCGGGATATCTGACGTTGTTGGTCACAGCTGTACACCGATCTGGGTCAAAGTTCAACCTGAGAAGGCGGGAGGTGCACTCGTGTAGACGCATTGCCGTAGTTCGTTTAGACCATCGACCTCGCATCCCTACAGTGACGGTGCCGGTACGGAGCGATATGCCGGGTTTTCGTCCGGCCTGGGCTACGTTTCCACAAGGATGAACCAGAAGCTGGTCATCATCCTTGCGTTTGCTGCGCCGAACTGCTGTAGAGATGCCATGGGTTGATTGGGCAACGGCAGTAACCAAACGTTTCACCTCTGGCGGGGAACTACTTCAAGTACAGGTCGGGACTTCGATATTTGCTGTGCGCTTGCACACAGCAGGCGCGCTACACACAGCGAACTCAATCGGTTCGTGTGTGATATGCACAGATACGCTTGGAGGTTTCATCTGTTTTCAGTTTTGAGAATGCAATATGTACTAAAGTTTTGAGAATGCGATACTAAAGCTAATGGTATGCATACATGAGAGAGTACACGCGGGCGTATTTTTTCTCTTGCTTGTGGTTCTATTAGTGTTCCTCCGCCATTTGAAATTTTTTTCCACACTCAATCCTACCAGGTATACAATAGCCCCCCTGACCCAACTGGATAAAGAGTACGAAAAAAATGGGCGAAAGGGGGTTGCGGTAGCAGGAGGCCAGAAATCCCACTACGCGGGCCCTCTTTTTCCATTCCATCAGGAGCCCCGGGGCCCGAGTGTACAGAGCTGAATATCTCATTGAATAGGAGCATAGACCACATGCACAGAGGAAGGCTTCGACCGACAAAGCGGCGGTCCCACACTGCTGTAATGTTTGGCTATTATTGGCAGACAAAGGCCAGGACTTACCGCGCTACTCTTGCGTAGTAACTTCGACGGCGACGTTTTGGAAAAGATGTGATTGCCTGTTGACACTTTGCGAAGGACAGCAGTCGCTTGGAGATTACTTGTTGTACTCGCTTGAATCGATCGAGGTGCATGTGATGAGCTATCCGCCGAAAAATGACGCCTTCTGTTGGGTTCTACAAACAAACGTCCTCCAACGACGGTATCCCCCTGCGCCCGGCACCCCGCACATATACAAGCACACGCATGAATCACTTGTAATTTATCATCTGGGCTCCTTGCTTTGTTTCCTTAGCCCGCATAGTCTACCCATCTCGTACTTTGACCTTTGGCTTTGATGGGTTTTGTCGACCCTCGGCCCCCCTCATCTTTCCTGAGCGTAGCCATCCAGCTGAACCCAGATGTTAATTGATACCTGCAGGGCTTTGGAGAGACGTTTCCCACGAACCCGAGAGTCGTGCCGGACATGACGTCGCTGCATCACATCCACGAGGCCGGAATCCTCCACAACCTGAGGGAGAGGTCAAAGCTTAGGAACCAGCGGCCGTACACGTTCATGGTGAGACGAAAAGGAGAAAGAAACGTGCATGCATGTGGTGTCCCTCTTTTTCTGCTGCCGTCGTCTGTGGATCCTAAGTTTAGCCGTGCTTTGAGCCAGCAGGGTACGGCGCTTTCCCTGACCCGCTTGGAAGGAACGCCGCCGTCGGCGAGAAACCCAGCTTGCGCGCTGCTGCGCCGAGTCGCTTGGTCGTGCGGCGCGCCCAGCACAAGCAGTCCACTGTGACTCTTCTCAGCTGATTTTGTTAGCGGTTGTGGCAACACACACAGTAGTAGTAGTAAACAGCACACCATGGTGGAGCCCTGCCTAGTAACTAGACGTCGGGGCGCTGTGAGAGGAAAGTGTCGGGATTGACCAGAGGTAACACACGCCTCGTTTTGTGGCCAGCCCTGCGGAAGGACAGCCACCATATCCTCCGCCCTACAGGTGATTAAATTGTCTCGTGTGTGTGTGTGTGTTTGTGTGTGTTTGTCCCGCCCCCCCCCCTTCTCTGGCCTGGCCTTTCTTTCTTCCCGGGCCTCCCGCTAGGGCACTATCCTGATCGCGGTGAACCCACTACAAAGAGTGCCCAGCCCGGACATGCGTGACTACATGGACAAATCCCTCAACCCCGAGACCCCGCACCCCTACGCCATCGCCGAGGTGAGCAAACCCCGCCCGTTGCGACTTCATCTTTGAAGTGAAAGAGCCAGCATGCGCGGTTGAAAGAGAGAAACGGCAGGCGACCGTGCTCGGCTACAGCAGTGTGGTTGGTGAAGTCGAAAATTACGTAGACAATGGCCAACGCCCCGGTTCGCTCGCCCTCCTCGGAGTGGGATCCAAGATGGATGCAGCGCTTGTCTGGGAGAGGCGACAGACATAGATGATGAGCACAAGCATAAAATGGGAGAGAATGTCTCACGCGTTCATGCTAGAGCTTTATTAAGCGCGACCAATTTTAACCCTCGCTGGGTACGACGTTAGACCAACGATGTTTGGTCACCGCAACCGGACACTGCCGTGCTTTGTCGCCCACTGCTGTCAAGACCATGCCCGGCGAGAGAGATCAGCAGACGAAAAGGAGGTCACTCCTCCTATATCATAACCTCTAACGCTCGAGCGCCGGTGCCGCATTTTCGGCTTGGCAGTTGGCCTACCACCAGATGCGTCTGGGCGCCGGCCGAAAAATGGCCAACCAGTCCATCGTTGTGTCCGGAGAGAGCGGCGCGGGCAAAACCGAGACGTCAAAGATTATTCTGAGGTGAGTTTGTTTCATGAATGAGAGCTGCAGCAAATGGGGGCGTACGTGTGTATGCTAAAAGCTGGCGCCGGAGTGTGTTCGTGCTGGGCGTGAGTTGCGTCGCGAAGTGAGCCACCACGCGTGGCGCTCGTTTTCTCGACGGTGCTCGGGGCTGCTACTCTATGTTCTCTTCCTTCACAAAAAGGGGGACAGATGCAGGGAATGGGCGTGCAAGGGCGGAGGGACGAAATACACGGCCAGTCTGAATCCTACTCCTGCGTATGTCGAGAGCGACGTAACGTCCATTGTTTTATTGACGTGTTTTATGTTCCACCTCTATTTAGATCGCTTGGGCCTGACTCAACCCCCCCCCCCCCCCTACAACCTTGTTGATACCTCGACAACCTTTAGTTAGGAACGCCTTCCTCCGTGAGCAACCCCTCGCTCCAGTGCACAGCGGCAGTACGACAAGCCTTGTTAAATTCCTCGACAACCAGCAAACAAATATTCTTTCCTCCGAGTACAACGCCCCGCTCCAGTGCACGGCAGCAGCAGCAGCAGCAGCCTAACTCAAAACCTTCACCAGCAGCGTCTGAGTAGCGCGCGTAGCGGACGACGGAAGACCTTATCGTGGCTGGCTATAGACATATACACGGATCGCTTGTTTCCCCTTCGCCCCTCACTGCCCTTGGCTGGCGTGCGCACGCTCGTACTCTCGGCGACCAGCTTTCTCACGCGCCGGTCTGTGGGGGGAGTCGCGAACTTGGACCAGAAGGTGGTGGACTCCTCTCCTATCTTGGAGTCTTTCGGGAACGCCAAGACGCTTCGGAACAACAACTCCTCCCGGTTCGGAAAGTTCCTCAAGCTGCAGTTCACCACGGACAAGTACCGCCTCGCCGGCGCGTTCATCGAGACCTACCTGCTGGAGAAGAGCCGCGTGCTTACCCAGGGAACGGTGGGTGACAGGGAGAGGGGGGGGGGGGGCTCCATAGTACCGGTTGTGTGGACCCCGGATTCGCCGGCACTATTGGCGGGCACCCGGCACTGCTGTATTCGGAGAATATGAGGCGACTTGATTGTATCACCCGTGTCGAATGCGATTTCTCCAGCACCGGAAGTATTGAGCGGCCGCCAGTGTTTGCGAATTTTCGCGTGAGCATTCCTTGCGACGGTCGCCTCGTTGGATGTATGCGCTGTAAGCACTGCTGTGTTGTCTTTACAACTAACACACAGCTGTAGCGACCCGTGCGTTTCTGTCTGCACCAGTTTTCCTGACCGTCGTCGGCGTTGGCGGTTTTTTTTTCTTCTCTTGTCTCGCTCTCTTTTCGGTGTCGGCGGCGGCAGGGAGAACGAAACTTCCACATCTTGTACCAGCTCGTCGCCGGTGCTTCCGCCCTCGATGACGACCTCAAGGTGATTGGTGCAGAAAGGCCTGCTTGCGTTTTTCTCGGGTGTGGGGCTTAACGGTTTCGGAGCGAAGAAGCATATAGCGGCGCCAAAGCGTCGGGGCGGGGAGCAGTTTGTGCTAAAGGGAGCCGATGCGTGGCGGCGGGCATCTAGGGGGAACGCTGTTGGCGTTGATGTGGGCGTCAAAGGGTTTGAGCTGGTGCACAGGGGAAACGGCCAATTCACATGGTTGTTCAACACAATGTTGGGCTCCTGTAGGTGTGAATAGTAACAAACACGCTCCTTGGTGGACCGACTGTTTGCCGCGTTGAGTTCATGCAGTATGGCTTGAGAAAGCAAGCTGACATCATGTTTCTCCCCCTGCCCGCCTGCCTGGCTGCCTGCCTGTGTGTCTTCCTGTCTGTTAATGTGTCTCTGCCTATCCCATTCGCTTTCTCTGCTCGTCTTGCGGCGGAACTTACGCCGGCTTGTCGTGTGATGCTTGGACCGTACAGCTGGAAGATGTGGAATCGTACAAGATTCTCGCTCAGAGCGAGTGCGTCACGCTGGATTGCATGGATGATACCGAAGAGTTCGGTACGGTGAAGTCCGCGTTCGACACGATTGGGATGAGCCCCGAGTCGCAAGCACAGGTGTGCATGTTGTTGGGTGTTGATGAATGGAATGATTCGTTTGACAGCGAGCACTCTGTCTCTGTCTCTGTCTCTCATTATGTGTGTGTGCGTCTCTCTCTCTCTCTTTCTCTCTCTCTCTCTCTCTGGGTGCGTCTCCCTCTGTCTGCCTGTCTCTCGTTCTGTCCCTCTCCACCGTGCTCTATTTGTCTCTGCTATCTTGCTGCCTATCTCTCGGCTCTCAAGACACTTCTGTTGAATAGCTTGTTTTAGTAGTTCGACAGCAACCTATGCACACATCGCTGGAAACGCACTTCCTGTGCGATCCCTCTTCCTGGACCCGCCACACAACACATTAAACCTGAGCTCCCTTCCGCGCTCGCTTCTATCGACGGCCAGGTCTGGCGCATGCTGGCGTCGGTGCTGCACATGTCGAACCTCGAGTTTGACAAGGTGGACCACGAGCAGGGGGAGATCGCCTCCATCTCCGACCGCGAGGTGAGTGGGATGCCTCTATCAATCCCCCGCCCAGTGTACCTTCCTGAGCACCAGGCCACGGGGGCCATGTGTGGGGAAAGTGGTTTCGACAGCCAACCTCTTGCTGTATTGTAAACACCGACGGCTTGTACTCTTTGTTTGAGATCAAGTCCAAGGCATAAATCATGGCCCGCGTGCCTTCTTGCGGCAACATCGGGGGACGGATGAACTGCCCGCTTGCCCCCATCCATCTCCTTCCTTGATTGGGGCACGTGACTGTGGTTTGGTGGTCAAGAGACAAGAAAAGGTAGTCAAAAAAAAAAAAATCAAACACAGGCCCTAACCCCGAATATAGCATCTATATCACAAAAAGCGAATAATGCCCGGCTTGATGTCCTGATTAAAATCGCTTGCCAAAAATTGATCATACCAAGTGTTTGTTCAAGTTAGATCCTGCCCATGCCCGCTGTGATACCGATGCCCGGGGTAAACACGGACCATTGCTTTGATGATTTTGGTATGTAAGTAGGAGCTCGCCTTGTTGCTTACCGCACAGCAGTGTGTACCACCGTTCAGGTGGCTGGCTGCAGCTTCTCATTCTTTTTTTGCCGTCTTCTTTCTCACGCAACGCCGCCAAAATGAAAAAAAACTTGGCTTGGCTACGCGAGCGACAGGCCCTGTCGACGCTCGCGGCGTTCCTTGCTGTGGAAGAGGGTGCGTTAGAGGCCATGCTGACGCAGAGGGTGGTCGTCACCAGGGGGGAGACGTTCACGATTCAGCTCGGCCTGGAAGAGGCCAACCTCACCCGCGACGCGATCGTAAAGTCGCTCTACGAGGTATTATCACCATCATCATCATGACCATCATCATGTCGTTTTTTCTTTTTCTTTGTGGAGTACACAAAGAATCCAAATCTCTATACACAGATGCAGAGTCCAGGATATTTTCGTCGTTCCATCTGCTTCTTGATCTGGACGGTGCAAGTTTTGGTGTAGAAGTTTCTTCGTGTATTGAGGGAAGCGGCTTGGCTAGACTCGAGTGGCCCAGCGCGATGCGGCAGGAAACAAATCGCGCTCGGAGCCTGTTGGTGGGTCGGCTTCGTACTGTTCGTCTTCCATTCCTTGTGGGCGCGTCTGGATGGTGGCGTCAAAGATTCCGTTGTGTGCGTGTTTTCGACCTTCGGAACGAGCGTGTGGAGGAGCAAATGCTTGGTATGAAAGTTCCGCATTCGACCACCGTTGCTTCGGTGTCGCACGACGTCGCAGCTGCAAGGGTCTTGAAGTTCTCCTCTGCCGGGTCCCCTTTTCGTATGCCCCTCCCCACGCAGGCCCTGTTCCTTTGGGTGGTTGCGGTCATCAACACCTCCCTGGGCAAGGGCCCGGACAGTTTGCCGTTCATCGGCGTGCTGGACATCTTCGGTGTGTGGTTTTTCCGTCATACGCACACAACGCGTTTGTTTGTTCGTTTTTTCGCTCGTTTCAAGAGCGCGGGCATTTTCGATGGCGAAACTACGCCTTCTGTGTGCCTTAGTCTGGTTTGCAGACGCACAACACTTCCGAGCCATTCTCGCTTGCGAATGGTAGACGTTCCGCGAAAATTCTTCGTCCTTAGTGTTTGTCAAGGGACCTAGTAGTCGCTTCTTGTCTGCTGCTGCTGTGTGTGGTCCCTTGAACACCTCTCGTTTGGGGATGGCCAAGTTTTTAGCCAAGATTCTTCGTCCTAGGTGTGTGTCAACAGAGACATAGATTAATAGTTCCTTGTTGTCTGCTGGTGCTGTAGGTGCCCCCCCCCCCCCCCTTGTCTCTCTACCGCGCGCGTGCGACCGACCGACCCAAGGTTTCGAGAACTTCGACACGAAGAACGAGTTCGAGCAGCTGCTCATCAACTTCACCAACGAGAGCCTGCAGGACACCTTCAACAAGCAGGTGTTCAACAACGAGCTCAAGCTTTACGAGGCCGAGGGGATCGACGTGGTGGTGTCCAACTGCCCGGATAACGCGGAGTGCCTCAAGATGCTCTCGAGCAGGCCCAAGGGCATCATCCCCAGGTGCAGACACTGGCGGGGGGGGGTGCCAAACACACAATACCGTGGCTTCACTACCGTGAACACATACCTCTCCTCAATTTTGAGACGTTACGGGGAATATGCCATTCTTCGCAAACAATTACCGGATGTTTGCTAACACTCATGTTGTCAACCTCGATCGAGAGAGACAAGACGGAGGGAGGGAGGGAGGTGCACGAAAAGAGGTTGTCGAGGACGAGATTTGCGTGTTTGGTTTTCACGCTACTACCGCTGTCTCGACGACCTTATCCCTGTTGTCTCGGACATAACTGTCTTCTGACCGTCCGTTTCCTTGGTTACATCCTCTTCCCCCGTGCTCGTTTGGTCTGCATCCCATACTATTCTGGGGGGGGCAGCCTGGACAACGTGTGCGCCGAGCCTAACCCCAGCGACTCCCGCTACCTGAGCGCGCTGCACAAGGAGCACGAGCGACACGAAGACTTCCCACGCACCAAGCCGCAGGACATGGTGAGAGGATGCATGCACACACCCTTATGTATAGCTCTAAAATGTGCCCGGCGGTAACCACGACGGTGCCGGCATGGCGCGTTGTTTGTTGGCTCGTCGTCATGGATCCACCAGGTGTCTGCTGTTGTTGCGGTCCATTGGGAGGACGCGGTTCAGCGGCGCCTGGTCGAAGTGGCGAGTGTGGGAGTGCTGTAGATTGATGTGCGCCGGCGCCCGGCGCGAACTATCTCGCGGCAAAAATCCCTGTCTACCTTTGCGTAGTAGGGGTGTTTGGCAAATTCAGTCAAGGCCCAGAAGTCAAGGTCCAGAAGAAAACGCCTCGGTTCTTTGAGACAGCTGTCCGGGAGACCAAATTTTAGCGACAACGCCCCCGATGGCACCGTCCCTTCTTCGAGCGGGGCGTGGGCCGCGCGGTGCTATAGTGCGCCCACCAAGCTCACCGTATTGTTATTCAACAAGCTGTGCACCGCCGCGGCGGCGTTGATGATTCACGAGATTCACGGGTTCCTGTTGGTGCCGAAAACAAGCATCGAGAGACGATGACGCTTTTGTAGCTTTGGACGGCATGGTCTGCCGAGGTGACCGGCTATCTTCCCGTTCTCCCGCCCCTTTTCTCGTCTCTCTTTTGCGCGGACTTGACCAACCAAATCCAGCGCGAATGCTTCTGGGTGAGGCACTACGCCGGGAAAGTGAAGTACACCGTTGAAGGGTGGGTGGAGAGGAACATGGACCGAGTCCCGGAGTCGTTCAGCAGCACTCTCGCCGCAAGCACGAGCAAGGTGAGTGAGGAGAAGCGATGAGCCGGCAACCGACCGATTTTTTTTACTTTGAACAGCCGGTCCGGCCTTGCCTGTCTGTCTGTCTGTCTGTCTGTCTGTCTGTCTTGTCTGTCTATCTGTCTGTTTGTCTTTGTCTCTGTCTGTCTGTTTGTCTACTAGCGTGAAAATCCGTCGACGCAAGACTGTGACAGACATAACTCATCAAGGCAATTGCGCTTTGCTACTATAGGCTGGAGATGGAGAGCTCTCGCTTGGGTTATCACTTTTGGTTGCAGATAAACATGGCGACTACCGGAGCACCAATAGCACAACAACACAGAGCTTGTTTGCGTCCTTGCCGTTAGGTACGGCAATCAGACGCTTAGATCACCGCGTCCATGGTTGTTCCGCACTGTTAAACCGACCCAGAAGTTGCCCCCCCCCCCCAACCACCTTTGGCAAAGAAGGAAGGGACGATTGGCCATCGGGGATCAGTTTTGTGGGAACATTGCTCCGTCCTCTCACGGATGCGTGGTCAATGGTCTGTAACCGCTAAGGCATGCAAAAACGTAAGAGTCCCCCCCCCCCCCCCCCCTGTTCGCCTTCACGGGGAAACCCTTGGATGTTTTTATTTATTCATTTGTAGGTTGTACAGGAGGCTACAAGCCATTACGGCAAGGCCCCGAGCGGGGGCGCTGCCGCCAAAGCGAAGCCGACACGTGCACGCAAGGTGGGCACGCCGCTATCTATTATACTACGCTTTGTCGGTTATCCGCTTGTTTTTTGTTGGTGTTGTTGTTGTTGTTGACGGGTCATGCATGCTGTGTGCTCATGAGCAGCAAAGCCCGTATTTCTGTTTTGTTCAGCAAGATGTGTGTGGAGGTGTGTGCCACCCGGGTACGGTCGTGATTGCAACCTCATGCATGCAGTGAATGCGTAGGCCATATGCTGTAAGTTACTCCACGGCCGCAGACGTCCGCCTTCTCCTGGCGACGAATATTTCGGTTGTCTTGCCCCCACCGTGTGCTCCCAGAGGCAAAGCATGCGGCAGAGAAAGACAGGTTTCACAAAGGCTACCAACTCGTCAGACCACGTCGGTCAGCGTTGACTACTTGTGGTAAAACCTACCTAGCGAAAGAGTCGCTTTGCGGAAAACAATCAAAAGACGCAATCGACAACACCGAATACTCCTCGCCCCCCTCTACCTGCGTGTCGGCTCTCTAGACCCTGGTCAAGCCTACGGTGGCGAAGGCTTTCTTGGGGTCCATGGAGGCCCTCAACGTCACGCTGCTGAGCACCATGTGCAACTTCGCGCGTTGCATCAAGCCCAACGCCGAGATGCAGTGCGGTGTGTTCGACAACAGGTGCGGTGTGTTTGGAGGAGAGAACCGCGACTGTAATTAGCGCCCCGGGTCCTCGTGCATGCAAGCCCCGCCCATTTCCCCACGCCGCAAGATAGGTGGTTACACGTGCGTCGACCGAGTTTCCGCCTTTCTTGTCACGACGGAGGGCCTGCTTGCGCCGCATTTTGTGAGCTCTTGTTTTTCGACCTGTTCCCTGTGTCTTCTATTGTGATTTGTGATTTACCGCAAGGTATGTCGTCGACCAGCTGCAGTGCTTGGGAATCCTGCAGACCTGCGAGGTGCTCAAGGTCGGCATGCCCACCCGCGTCACGTACACCGAGCTCAAGGAGGTGCGAGAAGCGACATGTACCTAGTTGTTGTCGTTGTTGTTGTTGTTGTTGTTTTTGCTGTTGTCTTGCGTTAGAATCCAGTGCAACCCTCGCCGAGTACCTCCTCCTCCTCCTCCTCCTCCTCCGATTTTCCGTGGTCACTATAAGGTACACCCCAAGATATGGGGTACAGAAATACAGACCCGAAGTTCAGTTTGTCCGTCCATAGCGTTCGTTTCCCTCTCTCCCTACAACAGCAGTAGATTTAGTTTAACCCCATTTAACCCCATTTCCGTGGTTGCTCTGCGAGGGCTTGCATTGAGCAAGCGGTGTCGCCCGCTATTTCCGAAGCGTTCGATCACCATCCCCTCCAGAACGCTCTGTGCACGGTGGTATGCATATCCATGTTTGTTTGGCCTCGATGACGGCTGCCGTGCCGCTTGAGAGGTCAATCAATCAATGCGTAGATACCAGCTTTTTTTTCGGGGGGGGGTGTTTTAGAGGCAGATACATATGTAGACAACATCCGCTTTCTCCGGAGAAGCACAGTTCCTTCCCGCACCATACACCGACGCCGCGATACCATCCGTCGACCCCCCCCCCCCCCAGGTCCTCGGGGATAGCGCTGCGGAGGCGGAGAAGCTTTTCGAGGGGGAGCCAGAGACGGCCTTGATCGCGGCCATCCTTTGGGCCTTTGAGGTGTGCAGGGGGGTACTAGTAGGCAGGTGTGGCGCAAGGGTTCAGTTTAGCGTGTAGGTCGTCGTTGCTGTGCGGTCAAGCAGTACTGTAGAGGCACACACCGCCGGACGATGCTGCTCGATGGATCTGTGTTGACACACTTGAATTACGTTTGTTTCCAGATTCAACAACGTATCGCCCTTTTTGCTATTCGGGTACCTAGCCAGAAATGGTGGTGGTGGTGGGTGACTCGGGGATGCTCGTACGAAAGACCGTCAGGTGCAGCATCAAAGTGGACAGCCAAATGCACGAGACCGCCCACTTCTCTCTACGCGTTTCTACCAGCTCCGGCAGTTGTTGTAACGGGTGTTGTGACAAGCTTGTTATTTTTCTTGTTTTTGGGCACGTGGCTTTACTGCTGCTGATTCTCTCTATCTATGCGGTAGTAACAGCTCCGGCAAGGTGTAGCGGGGTTCTGGCTGACATGTTTTGTCAAAAAAAAATTGTTCTGGGCATGTGGCCTCACTGCTGCTGATTCTATTTGAGTGTATCAGCTCCGGCAAAGTTGTAGCGGGGTTCTGGGTGACAACATTTTTTTTTTGTTCTGTTCTGTTCTGGGCATGTGGCATCGCAGGTCCCCTCGGAGGTGTTCCGGCTGGGAAGAACCCGCGTCTTCTTCCGCGCGGGTCAGATCTCCACCCTCCAGAAGATCCTCAACGAGACCGGCCCGGAGAAGGCTCCCTGGATCTTCGAGAGGCTGCAGGAGGCCCTGGCCAACAGGCACAAGGCCAAGGCCGCCGCCGAGGAAGCGCAGGTTAGAATCGTCCGTCCCGTCGGTCTTGTTGTCGGGGAGCGCTATATATTGAGGGATTGATTGTGTCGGGGAAAGCTATTAGGGGGGATTTCATTAGTTTCTTTGGGGAGTAAAGCAGTGTACATATGGACATAGCCCTCTGGATATTCTCTTCCTCAGACCTACTTTCTTGGCGAGACAAACACTTGTTTTTTTTGTGCGTATCTACATTTCTCGTCATCGCGCTTTCAGGCGGCTTATGCGTCCAAAAAACGGCATGTGTGTGTGTGTGT